GGGCTGTTCAGTGACTGCTCCTCCCCCTGCTCTGTTTGGGGCCCAGCTCTGAGGGTGCCAGGACCCCGTCCCTACTCCAGCTTGGGGTCCCTCTGTGCCCCCTGGCTCACACAAATGAGAGCAGGTTCTCAAGAGAGAACCTCTCCCTTGGGAGCAGAAAGCAAATGCTGGCCAGAAAGCCAGCATCATCATTAATTGACAATTATTTTGTAACTCACTCCTGAAATGCCAAACCTGTTCAAAGGCAGCTTCCTTTCCATGCCAGGGGTGCTGGGCAACATCTAAAGCATCTAAAATTGGGTGACACCTTGAAACATTCTTGTTTCCTGCAGCATTTTAAGCTGTAGCTGTGTCAGTTACATTCTCTAACACTAAAATTATGCAGAAAGTTCATGCTGATGTAACGTGAAAGAAGGAATTTCTGTCATAAATGACACAAACAGATCCTTACACCCAGCAAATATTTACACACAGGAGTAAATATTATACAAATACACACAGGATGAATATATATATCTCTTCTTCAAAGCCCTCCTACAGCTGTCAACAGGAGCATCAAGGAGATTATTACTCCTGATGAAGCATTTACCCCTGCATTTAACAGAAATACCCAACAGAAAAAGTTCAGCATTTTGATGGAATTTAGATAATTCCTCAGAGCCCCATCTGTGGTGCAAAGAACGATTTTCCTATTTAATTTCAAGTTCACCTTTCAACTGCACGAACCTAATGGTTTCCAATTATTCCTCTGTACATAATACAAGCAAAAAGAGGCTGTGGAATGTTTCTCTCTTATCTGGATATTGTCATTTTACTGTCTCAAACTTCTAAAAACAAGCTTTTGGCTGGGGAGGAAACCAGCCAGCATCAGACCTAGTGGGGAAACCCTGCACTTGCTCAATGTCTGTGGCTCTTACATAGTTCCAGATGTTCAGAACATTAATAATGCACTAACTCAAAACCTCTTTTTGAAACTTTAGAATGTGCAAATTGCATTAAAACCTCTTTGCCCTCATTAATGGTATTGTTACAATCCCAGTACTCTGGAAAATGTTTTTTGGCATTTGTTTAACTTTGTGATATTGCCATTTACTCATTTTAACAGCCAGTGTTCAAATCTTAATGCTTTTAATAGGCTGGGCTAAACAGACTACCATCCTTTGGAAATTTATTGAAGTAATTTATTAAATAAGTAAAAGTTGTCTGAAAGCTGCATTGCTTTGTTTTATTGATGGCAGGAAAAATGGGTTTCTTATAATTTATTTACAAACCCACGTTTCAGGAAAGTTTTAGAAATGAAAATATTGTCTTTTCAGAGTTCTATTACTGAACAAGAATTCATTACTGTTCATTACTGAAACAAGAATTTGTACCAATCTCAGGTATCTCAATAAGAAAAGGCTCAGACATTGAGAATTAATCATGGAATGAAATCCCTCCCTCAGCCTGCCCTACCTGGGGTGCCACATTCACCTCGGGCCCGTTTAAATCCACGTGGGCACAGCCAGAGGTTAAACTGAGCTGATTCCAAATCCTTGCCCTGACCCTGGACATCCTCAGTCTGCTGAAATGAAAGCAGCCCCACGCTGCTCAGAGTTAATTAATATTGTTAATTGCTGCCTGGCTGGAGCTGGGGGAGGGTGCCAAGGAAGCTTTGGCAGCACAAGGGCAAAGAGCAGCTGCAGAGAGGGCTGGGCAGGTTTGGAGGGCACAGGGACAGCAGCTCCAGCCCAAAGGGGTTTGATCACCCAACCCTGCTGCTCCCACTGCTGAAACATCACCAAACATCTTCCCAGAGAGCAGGAAATGGGATGGGACTGGCAGAGCTTCAGATCTCGACCTGCAGCTCCTGAAGTCAGGAGACAAATAAACACTGAGCATTTTTATTTACATTTTATAAACTGGGAGATTCAGCGTTTCTTTTTGCAAGTGGCAAAAGTTGCTGTGTGTCATCACTGCAATCTTACCCCAAAATTCTCAAGGTAAGCAGCCAGTGCAGCATGAATCATTTATATGCTAATTTATGCTAATTGTGCCACTATTCCGTGATCATAGTTTGGGTTGCAAGGAACCTTTGAATGGGATCCAGTCCAGCCTCCCTGCAATGAGCTCAGGTTTGCAAGCAGAGAATTGTTCTCAGTTCCTAAGTTTTCCTGTTGAAAACACTCATTCAAACCCTTCCCAACTCCAACTGCACAAATCCTTCCAGGTGATGCCTCCTCAATCAGCAGATCCAAATCCACCAACAATGCCTCAGAGAACACAACGAACCAAACCAACATGAACATCATCATCCAAAGCTTTTGTTTAAAAAAACCCCACGAAGAAAGGTCAGTTAATTCATCATGATGGATTAGCACTAAAATTTATAAGCATTAGCATTTTTCTCCTTGCTGGCAAGGCTGACTTTGATATGACACATATTGAATGAATCATCCAAGATGCAGGCACCAGGCAAGATAGATCTTAATGCAGACAGGTTGGCAACATGAGCCCTAATGGGCCTTATCTTAATCTTGTTTAAAAGCATCCCAGATTTCTGGGCAATCTTTTCACCTTCTGATATTCTCTTTTATAGAGTGGTTTTTTGCTGGAGTTGCTACTGATTTTCACATAAATGCATTTTTGCTGCATAGTATCACCAGTTTTAGGAGCCTTAAAAATGATGGAGCTTTGGAATTTAGTGAATGTTGAGATCAAGCTGATTTTTTAAAAAGTCAAAGTGCCACAAGTCCAACAATGACATTAAAATTTCCATGTTTTTTGTGAATTTCCCCACATGAACCATCACAGCTGCTCATAGCAGACACCTATCAAATGTGGGCATGTACAGCTGATGGGCTCTTTCCATGTATTTTCCTCCACTGCATTAATTCCATATATTTGCTATACATATATTTTAAACAGCTACTCTTCAATTAAAAATATATTTATTCAAATACCTGATTAAGAAAAAGGGAAATTTCCCTACTATTGTTTTTTCCTCCATTCACATTGCAGGTAGTAATTCCAAACTGAAATCCAATGTACACACCAAACTAAATTCCAGCTCCATCAAATTACCTGGATAGAAAGTACTTAAAATTCAAAGCATTGTCCTCAGCCTTCCAGACAGGAAAAAAAAAACCTTTATTTGTCACTTACTCAAAATTTGAAGCCTCAATTCATAAAACAGATTGAGCCATCAAAAAATCTGCTTAAATCATAACAGTGAGGTCCATGACCATGTGGATTAATCAGATCTTGACAGCCTTGAAAAATTCCTTTGAAGGCTGCAGCTTTCTAAAGAGAGGCAGCAATTTCCTGTGCAAATCACTTTTGAAATGCAAATATTCTTTATGATGATGAAAGAAAGAATACTTTGTTTTCCCTGTATTAATGTGCTTACATTATTCTGTATTTCCAACATATTAATCTCAGCCTTAAAGGCAACCCAATCCCGAATAAAAGCAGTAGGAAGAAAAAGGGCATCCATAGAAAAATATTGGCAATGTGATTTTAAAATATCATCCTTCAATTGTCTGCAATTTCTATTTATCAATACCTGGCTGGGCTCAGGGAGTGCTGCACAAAGAACAGAACACTCAGTGTGAGCAGGGTGACCTTTCAGGGAGCCAGAAGGGCAGGGGGGGAAGGTTCCAGAGCTGGCCAGCAATTGTTTTCCTCCTTTATTAAATGTCATTACAAAGTCTCTGTGTACTTGCAATTCACATTACTATTCTCATAAAAACTTTCATAAATATTTGTCAGGTCTGGAGATGTGAGATCAACTCTCCAACATGACACACTGGGAAAGACAATGCTGGAAACTGAAAGATGCTCCAGTTAAATTCTTCAATAAATTGCAGATTTCTTGTAAGATCATTTCCTTTGCATGGAAGTGCAGGGTTTTGTGAGGTTAAATAAATTTATGGTCAGTAATCTGCTTTTTGCAGGGCTTCCATTACCTGGTCTGATGTGGTCACCTAATGGTTACTGGCAGGAATTGCACTTAAAGACATCCAGGCAAGACACAACCCTCCCTCTGCAGCCTGCCAGTTAAATGATAAAAGATGAAGGGATTGTAAAACAAGAATAAATAGCTTTTATTTCATTTTGTAAAATATTCTCTGCTCAGGAACCTTAGGGAAGAGCAGAAATGTCTGAAATTCTATTTCCAATATGCTGGTGTTTTAAATCATTTGGTAGGATTTTTTTTGAGAGGTCTTTGTGTTTTGTCTGTTAAGATGATTTTTTAAAATCATAAATAATCATTTAAAATTTAAAAAGTCACACCCTTGCAAGCAGTACAGGAAAAATGAGTCTGAGTTACAGAATTATCTTGCAGGTTTATATTCCTGTTCCTGACCATAAACAAAAGGAACAACAAATAGAGAAGAAAGCAGAACTACTGGGAGATCCAGATTAACCATAATTAGATAACTGTTGTCAGTGAAATTAGATATTACATCGTTTGAAATGGAGAAATTTGATTCCTTTCAGCCAATGTCAGTGAGCAATTCCCCTGACTAAAGAAAAATACACTCCAATCTCCAATGCAGGGAAATGGAACAAGAAACAAGGGAAGGAGAAATTACCTGGATGAATTCTGCATTCTGATAGCACAGAAAGAACATGCAAAGACATTCCTGCTGCTGATTTATAGAGAAAGTATCATTTCATGATGTGATTTTGAATTTTTTTCTTAATAAACAATTTCTAAACCTTCAGGGAAACAACACAAGGAAAATTTATGGATCTGGCTGGTTTTATGGTAATGCTAATTGAAATGATTGTCTGTGTTAATAAGTGCATCTGTTGAGAAAACCAAAGATGTTTGCTCATGAACATGAGAAACATAACAAACCTGAATGCCAAGAAGTAACAATACAATCCCTGTGTTACTACATTTATTTGATAAATATTTCTGTATATTGATGTATAAACCACACAGAAAATCACCCAGGGCATTTTCAAAGGTGTGTGGTTTGAGGGGAAGAACAGAATTCACATTTCCTTACCTTGTAGGATGGCAAAAAGCACAAAATCCCTTGGCCGAGTGTCTGACAGACCGACAGCAGCAGGGCCCCCACCTCGTCCTGGAACTCGAAGGTCTCGGTGTGCTGGAAGGTGGCACAGAGCTGCCGCCCGCTGGGGCCGGTGCCCACTGTGCCAACCCACACCTGGGGCACAGGGACAGGGTTAATGTGCTGGAAGGTGGCACAGAGCTCCCGCCCGCTGGGGCCGGTGCCCACTGTGCCAACCCACACCTGGGGCACAGGGACAGGGTTAATGTGCTGGAAGGTGGCACAGAGCTCCNCCCACTGTGCCAACCCACACCTGGGGCACAGGGACAGGGTTAATGTGCTGGAAGGTGGCACAGAGCTCCCGCCCACTGGGGCCTGTGCCCACTGTGCCAACCCACAGGGACAGGGTTAATGTGCTGGAAGGTGGCACAGAGCTCACACCCACTGGGGCCGGTGCCCACTGTGCCAACCCACACCTGGGGGCACAGGGACAGGGTTAATGTGCTGGAAGGTGGCACAGAGCTCCTGCCCACTGGGGCCAGTGCCCACTGTGCCAACCCAAACCTGGGGCACAGGGACAAAGTTAATCCCAAACCAGCCTGGAGAAACCTCAGCAGGACCAATAATGAAATTTTAATTCATTAACCACAGCAGGACCAATAATGACATTGAGAGAAATGCACTGGAAGGTGGCACAGAGCTCCTGCCCGCTGGGGCCCGTGCCCACTGTGCCAACCCAAACCTGGGGCACAGGGACAGGGTTAAATCAGCTAGCCTGGAGAAACCTCAGCAGGATCAATAATGACAATTTATATGTGAAAAAAATGTGCTGGAAGGTGGCACAGAGCTCCCGCCTGCTGGGGCCTGTGCCCACTGTGCCAACCCACAGAGACAGGGTTAATGTGCTGGAAGGTGGCACAGAGCTCCCACCCACTGGGGCCCGTGCCCACTGTGCCAACCCAAACCTGGGGCATAGGGACAAAGTTAATCCCAAACCAGCCTGGAGAAACCTCAGCAGGATCAGTAATGCCAATTTATATGTGAAAAAATGCACTGGAAGGTGGCACAGAGCTCCCGCCCGCTGGGGCCCGTGCCCACTGTGCCAACCCACACCTGGGGGCACAGGGACAAGGTTAAATCTGAGCCAGACTGGAGAAACCTCAACATTTCATTATTGATCCTGCTAAGTGTGAGAGAAATGTGCTGGAAGGTGGCACAGAGCTCCCGCCCACTGGGGTCTGCACCCACCGTGCCAACCCACACCGGGGGCACAGGGACAAAGTTAATGTGCTGGAAGGTGGCACAGAGCTCCTGCCTGCTGGGGCCCGTGCCCACTGTGCCAACCCACACCTGGGGCACAGGGACAGGGTTAATGTGCTGGAAGGTGGCACAGAGCTCCCGCCCGCTGGGGTCTGCACCCACCGTGCCAACCCACACCTGGGGCACAGGGACAAGGTTAAATCTGAGCCAGACTGGAGAAACCTCAACATTCATTATTGATCCTGCTAAGTGTGAGAGAAATGCACTGGAAGGTGGCACAGAGCTCCCGCCCGCTGGGGCCCGTGCCCACCGTGCCAACCCACACTGGGGGCACAGGGACAGGGTTAATCCCAAACCAGCCTGGAGAAACCTCAGCAGGATCAATAATTAAATTCTAAGTGTGAGAGAAATGCACTGGAAGGTGGCACAGAGCTCCTGCCTGCTGGGGCCTGTGCCCACCGTGCCAACCCACACTGGGGGCACAGGGACAGGGTTAATCCCAAACCAGCCTGGAGAAACCACAGCAGGATCAATAATGACATTTTAAGCAGGAAAGAAATGTTGAGATATTTGTTAAATTCATTTCAGTACTTGAAGTGCAGTAATTGATATTGCTAACAGCCATCTCATAGAGCATGAGCAACTTTTCCAGGGAAATGTGTCTAAAATTGCCTCTTAATTAATTTTAAAATGTCATTGTCCATTGCACTAAGCCAAGCAACAGTCTGGACCTTTCTTTGAACTGACAGAATGGGTTTGCCATCACTTTTATTTGGTTTTTAGATGGGAAGAGCCAAGCCCAGCCTACCTGGGAATTCCTGATAACGTGATTGGCCTCCAGCTGAATGGAAAACTTCACACCAAGCTCTGAGGAAAAGGAATCCATGGGAGAGAGAGTGCCTGAGGTCAGAACAATTGTTCTGACTTCATTTAAGTCAGAAAAAGCCTAGGTGGGAGAAAGAAAAGCAGGAATTTAGAAAATCAATGCAATCCCTTTCAGAAAGAAAAGCAGGAATTTAGAAAATCAATGCAATCCCTTTCAGATCTGGTGTGTATTTGTTATCACTCAGATTATTTTATCTTTTTTCACACTCAGCTCACCACAGCAGGGTTCAAGCACCAGAAGTTCAGCATGTGGACAAGGGTTTTCTGCCTTGAACTCTTTTTGTGCTTGGGCCTTGGGAAGAAGGAACTTTTATCTGCATCATCACGTTGGTCTTCAGTCATCCAGGTGTAAGTTTGTTGTAGAGCAACCCTGTAATCATCTGCAAACCTACACAGACAGAAATATCAGTAAAAACCACAATTAAGCAATCAAATTGTGAGCATTCAGCTGATAAATGCCAGGCCTGACCTGCTGTTCTCTTTGAAGAGACAGGAAAGGACCATGAACAGGCCTTTGAGCACGATCTGTGCTGCAGGGCTCACAACTGGCACCTCAATAATTTCCTCTCTCCCATGCATAGAAACTTTTTCTTCTTTTTCCAGGACAGCAGCAAGATGTTTCTGCAAGAGGCAAATTCCATATTAACAACATTCTAAGCGTCTCCTCAAAACCAAAGTTAATAGAGATACAAGACTGTCAGCTCACTGCTTTAAAAGTTCATTTAAAATAAAGTCAGAGGGAAAGGGGCAGAGAAGGGCCAAGGGAAAGGGAACAACACTTTCCATTTTTAACAATCCTTTTAATATATCTGGCTTACACAGAAAGGAGGGATAAACTTGAAAATAAGGTAAAAACATTTCAACATGAATAAAAATGCAGCTGGATAGAACAGGCAAAAATATCACTGGCTCAATGGTTCAATTTAAATAATTGTATGTGAGCAATTGTATCCTTCAAAACATTGCTTCTCCACAAATTCCAGTAGCTCGAGTGGGTTACTCCTGGTTTTCATCAGGAATCCTTTTCAGACAATTTTCAGGATTGCAGTAAATGAAAAACCTGTTTCCATTTAACTTCTGTGCATTTGGAGATGTTGAACACCACAATATTATGGATGGTGCTGCTCATTTATACAGCACACAACATTACCTGTAAAATGGGGAAAGTGATGCCAGTTATTCCCATTTGGTGCAGAAAGTTGAGCATTTCTTTGCCACTCCACACCTTGCAGGCACTTTCAAAGGCTCTCTCCACCAGCTGCCCAGAGCTCTCCTGCAGCCAGCTGAAAGACAGAAAAAGCACAAATCATTTATTTCAGCATTGATTTTAGAGATTTGGAGACACTTTGCACGTACAAAGCAAACCTCAAAAATTGCACCAGACTCCTAAGATGATGATAAATGTTTTACTGCATGTAAGGAGAGAGATTCTGCTTTTCCTTTCTGCCTGTTTTTCACTGTTCAACTCCCATGGAACTGCTTTGGATGCAGCTCATTGAAACGAGAAGGGAATTTCTCCCCACATGTTTATACTTCATATAATAGATAATAAAGAAAAGGAATTTAAATGTAATTTCCTCTTATGACATGTCAGGCTCATTCAAGCAAGACTTCTGCTGCATATCTGAATCCACTCATCAGTGCTCCAATGGCTGCAGGTTGGTTTATCCCTGTCAACTGCTGACTTTACAATTAAAAACCAATCCTGAGGCATGAAATGAGCACTTTCCATATTTACACATGGAATGAAACTGGGGCAATAGAAAGTGCCCATTTACACCTACCCCAGGAACTGGCACTGCTGCAAATGAAGCAGAATTATAATTGGAATATAATGCAAAATGGGATTGATTGAGCTAAACATGGAGAGCATCTCGTTTGTGGCAGAGCTGGAATTTCTCTGAGTGAGCCCCTGCAGCACCACAGGCCCTGTTCCTGGCTGGAAAAGCAGCTCCTCCTCTCGCTGCCAGGAAAGGCTGGAGCTGTCTGCTCCATCAGGGGGCAGGAGGCATTGAAAGGACACCTGTCAGTGCTGCGAGAGCTCAAAATATTCACCTGCAAAACCAGTTCATCATTAGCAACTCAAGAGCAAGGCTCTGGGACTGCTTCAGTTCTACATTTCCTGCCCTGTCACCATAAATAATCTGATCCTCAGAACAATTAAAATATAACTTCCCTTCTGCCAGGTTAAATGCAAACAAAGCCCACCAATGCTGCCACAACAATCACTTCTTTGGCTAAAATTTGCTTTGTCTCATTAAGGAATGGTGATCACTAAGACTAAGGCCTCAATTCCTCAAATGTAACATCAAAAAGACCTGGAATTGAAATTAGGACAAGGCCCCTGTGACAGGAATTAAACAGATTTATAATGGGTGAAACACTTCAGGAAATGTAAAATGTTTCCCTGATATGAACTTCAAACACCATCACATACTTTTGAAATAATAAACACAAATACAAACTTATCACAGTGGCCAAATAGCACCAAAAAAACACCCTAAATTCTCAAACAAATTCCATCTAATATTAAAGCACTTACTTGCAAAGCCTGTTAAATTATTTTTAGAGCTAAGCAGGAAGCATAAATAAAATTAGCTTGATTCCCAGAAAGGTTATCTCTGCTTTTGAAGTGAAAATTGCTGTATGCAGCATTTCCAGGAAAGGCATGAATGGGTGCTGCACACATGCCTTCAATTCCAGAAGAGTCTCTGCTGCTTCCCCAGCAGCAGAAAATGCCCCTGCTGGCAGAGCCCCTCCCAGTGCCCACAGTGCCCAGCCCTGCTCAATGTGCAGCAGAGCCTGCCCTGGCCCAGCTGCAAACTCCTCACAGAGCTGCAGCGCTGGGGCACCAAGCCCATCCTTAAGTGCTTTTTGCAATGAGGGCCCAGGATCTTTACAAGTGAAATAAGATTTTTTTTTCCTAGCTGCCCGTCGGTTTTCGGCTGTTTGAAGGGCCTGGAAAGGCCCGGGGTGGCCTTGGGGCAGCCGCGTATCAAAGGAACAGAAGAGGCTTCAGTTCTTCTTTCGGTCTCGGTGTTTATTAATTGTTTATCTAAAAGATTTTCTCTCGGCCCGACAGAGCTCTGCTCAGCAGCCAGCCATGAGCACACTGTGCTGCCCTCCGGGCG